GATTCAACTCAAGCAGAATTTAATTAACCTTGTGATGATTAAAACCTGGAAGAATTTTCGGCAAGATCACTAAGTTAGCAGAATTTAATTAACCTTGTGATGATTAATCATCTGGAAACGACGCGCTGTATAGCCTGAATACAGTGAAAAATATGCAAGAGCTGCTACGCCGGTGTCCGGTTGTAGCGTCAAATAAGCAAGGGTTCTCACATTACGGACGGATGCGGGCAAAAAAGTTAGTTCATGAAACTAATGAAATTAATTTTAGGATACGATCTTGGAATATAGACACTATCAATAATAAATTAATAAAATTAGTTGATATTATAATACATAGAAAGATTAATATCTTATGTATTCAAAAAACTAAATTGGTTGAAGAAAAGGCTAAGGAGATTGATAACTTAGGTTTTAAACTTTGATATTCTGGTAAGAGTCGCAATATAAATAGTGCAAGTGTAATTATAGATAAGAGTTTGATATATAATGTTGTGAAAATTAATTGAGTTGGAGATAGAATTATAACCTTTAAGATTATCATTGATATTAAGATTTTTAATATTATAAGTGTTTATGCTCCTCAAGTTTGTTTAGATATAAGGTCTAAAGATAAGTTATGTAATGACTTAGAAGACTTAATACATTTGATACCTCTTGAAGAAAGAATTTTTATTGGAGGAGATTTAAATGGACATGTCGGTAGAGTGGTAGAAGATTTCAGAAATTTTCATGGTGGCTACGGTTTTGGAGGACTAATGATGAATGTAGAGCTATTTTAGATTTTGCTTTAGCGTATGATTTTGTTATTACTAATACTTTATTCAAGAAAAGAAATTAGCATCTTATTACTTATAAGTAGCATCTTATTACTTTATTACTTATAAGAATGGATCTAATAAAACACAAATTAATTATTTTCTTATGAGAAGAAGAGATCGTCAAGATTGTTCAGATTGTAAGGTCATTCCAAGTGAGGCTTTAAATATCCAACATCTTTTATTAATTCTAGATTTTAGGATGAAGAGTTGTAAAATAAAGAATACTAGGACTCATCATCGTAGAATTAGATGTGGGAACCTAAAAGACAAATAAAATTATTTTTATAAATAAAATTCAAGATTTCAAAATTTGGGATGTTCTTAATGAAACAAATGCTATATGAGATAAATACTATTAAACAAGTAGTAAAAGATGTACTTTGAGAATCAAAAGAAAAAGTTTTATAAATAAAAATAGTTGGTGGTGAGATAATAATGTGCAAGAGAAGATAAAATATAAGAAGTTATGTTATAAAAATTGATTTAAATGTAAAAGCTTAGAGAACTGAGGAAAATATCGATTGGGAAAAATATCTAACGACCCGCAGGGAGTCTAGAGGAATAATATGTGACGCTAAAAATTCTGTTTTTAATGATCTCTATAATAGATTAGATACTAAGGAGGGTAAAAAATATATGTATAAACTAGCCAAACAAAGAGAAAAGAAAGGTAACCCAAAAAAAGTGTATTAAAAATGAAAATCAAAAAATGTTTTCTTACAAAAAGATATTCAATATAGGCGGGTGAAATATTTTGATAAACTTTTTAATGAAGTTTCTGAAAATCCGATCAAACTTAGTGATCTTAATTTTGTCAATAATAATTAAACGTTTCTTTTTTACCGTTGTATTAGTAAAAAGAAGTTGAGGAGACTTAAAAAAAATCAAAAGTGAAAAGTCTGTAGGACCTGATAATATCCCAATTGAAGTATGAAAATATTTAAGAGAGTTGAGAATTTCTTGGCTTACTAAACCGTTTAATATTATTTTAAAAACTAAAAATGTGTCTGAGGAGTGGAGGAAGAGTATTTTGGTCCCATTTTTAAGAATAAAGGGGATGCACAAGAGTGTGCAAAATATAGAGGAATTAAGTTGATGTGTCATACTTTAAAGTTATGGGAGAGGGTAATTGAACATAGGTTAATACGTATTACAAAGATTTTTCATAATCAATTTGGATTTATGCCAGGCAGGTCTACTATGGAAGTTATACATTTATTGAGAGGTTTGATGGAGAAGTTCAGAGATAATAAGGAGAATCTACATTTGATTTTTATTGATTTAGAAAAAGCTTACGATAAGGTTCCAAGAGATATCCTTTGGAGAGTCCTCGAGAAGAAAGGTGTTGATATGACTTATAT